CACAAAAGAAATGATCAAGGATTACTTAGACCGTGGGACCGTACACCCCACGATCTAGCTGACCAAATCGCCAGGAAGTACTTGGAGCCAGAACCAATCCACTTGAAAGGCAGAATACAGCACAACGAACAAGAAAGAAGCATAACAAAACAGGAAACGACACTTAGACCGTGGGATCGATATCACCCCACGATCTAGCTGACCTACCAAGAAGTATTTGGAACCAGAACAGACCCACAACACAGAAAACAGGACCGGACCAAAAGAGAAAAACCCGAGGAAAAACCCATGGCTGAAACGGTGAAGTTGATGAAATTTCTTAGTTGCAAGATATTTTTTTTTTTTTTGTAGTAACCTGAATAATAATGCACCCTCACCCATCCCACCATAAAAAACTTTTGTTAATTTTGATTTTTAATTTTTTTCTCTATACCTACGCGATATTTGGATTATATAATTGTTAAGCATCAGGGATATTTTATAATTAGGCTATTATTGTAAAGAAGGGATATTTTTAGGATAAGGATATTATTGTATTTTTTGACACTATTATGGTATTTGTATATAATTTGTTGTAATCAGCGTATAAACATTTTGATGACGATTCTAAGACGAAGTTGGTGATTTTACGAGTTCATTGTGTACCTAGTTGCTAGTTGAAGGCTGTACTGTGGTGGTGCTCCGCTGTTAAATGTGCCTAGTCATTAACCTAAATCCATTCAATCGGTCGGTCAGTGCAATTAAAGTGCGCCAAATATTATTAATATTTAATAATGTGTTTTTATTGTTGAAACCAACCCCCACCCCTAGACAACAAACAAGAAAAAGGCCTACATTATAAAATCACGAAAAATATAGAAATTTACGAAAACTACAATAATTTCAAAAAAGAAATACAAAAAATATGAAAAACCTAAAAATGTACGAAAATTGCGAAAAAAATACGCTGATTACAAAAAATTGCAAAAAAATATAAAATTTTACAAAAATTGCGAAAAAAATACATACGATAAAAAATATAAAAATTTACGAAAATTAACAAAGATTGCGAAAGTTCCAAAAAAAATGCGATATTTGCAAAAAAATACAAAGATTACAAGGAAAATACAAAAAATCGTGAAAACATGAAAAATATAAAGATTTACGAAAACTACGATAATTCCAAAAAAAAAATACAAAAAACACGAAAAATCCAAAATTACAAAAAAAATATTAACGAATATTGCGAAAAAAATACGATAATTACAAAAAATCGCTAAAATAATGAAAAATATAAAAATGTACGAAAATGACAAAAATTCAGAAATTAATGAAAATTCCGAAAAATCCAAAAAAATGCGATAATCACAAAAAAATAAAAATACGATGACTATAAAGAAAATATGAAAAATCGTAAAAAATACGAGAAATTATATAAAAATCTAAAAAAATTGCGAAAGATAATATGATTATTCCAAAAAAAATATAAAATATTGCAAAAATCGTGAAAAATACAAAAATTTACGAAACTTGCGAAATACAAAAATTGCAAAAAATACAAAATAATGCGATATTTGCAAAAAAATACAAAGATTACAAGGAAAATACAAAAAATCGTGAAAACATCAAAAATATAAAGATTTACGAAAACTACGAAAATTCCAAAAAAAAAAAACACAAAAAACATGAAAAATCCAAAAATTTATGAAAATTGCAGAACTACAAATATTAACGAAAATTGCGAAAAAAATACGATAATTACAAAAAATCGCAAAAATAGAGAAAAATATAAAAATGTACGAAAATGGCGAAAATATAATTATACAAAAATTAATGAAAATTGTGAAAAATCCAAAAAAATGTGATACTTGCCATTTGCAAAAAAATACAAGGATACAAAGAAAATACAAAAAATCATAAAAAACACGAAAAATGTATAAAAATGTACAAAAATTGCGAAAAATACGATTATTCTAAAAAAAATACAAAATCATGCAAAAATTTAGCATACACTTTGAATTCGGGAGATAATACATTTCAGATCACTAATGACAGTTCTCAACTGTCAAATTTTGGCAGGTGCAGATTTTTGAAACATTTCTTCGAATATTCCAAAAAAAAAATACAAAAAATTGTAAAAATCATGAAAAATAGAAAAATTTATGAAAATTGCAAAAATACTAAAATCAACGAAATTTGTAAAAAATTCAAAAAAATGCCATATTTGCAAGAAAATAAATACAAAGAAAATACAAAAAATTGTAAAAACACGAAATATATAAAGATTTACGAAAACTATGATGATTTCAAAAAACATGAAAAATCCAAAAATTAATGAAAATTTCAAAAATACAAAAATTGACGAAAATTGCAGAAAAAAATTGGATGATTATAAAAAATTACAAAAATTATGAAAAATACAAAAAGTGTCAAAAATACAGAGGTTAATGAAAATTGCGAAGAATCCAAAAAAATGCGATAATGGTAAAAAAATAAAAATACGATGATTACAATGAAAATATAAAAAATCGTAAAAAACATAAAAAATATAAAAATTTACGAATATTGCAAAAAATTATGAAAAATATAAAAATTTATGAAAATCGTAAAAATACTAAAATTGCAAAAAATACAAAATAATGCGATATTTACAAAAAATACAAAAAAACGTAAAAACTATGAAAATTTCAACTTTTTCAATTTTTTCTATTTTCCACTATTTAGTATTGTACTTATATTTTTTCTTTTTATTTTTTTCCTTTTTTTTGTTTTTTTTTCTAATTTTTTTTACATTTTTGTGATCTGTAAATTTTTATGATTTTTGTAATTTTTGATTTTCATAAATTTCTATTAACTTTTGTGAATTTTTATGATTTTTGGAAATCGGAAAAATTGGAAAATACAAAAATTTACGAAAATTACAAAAATATAGAAATTGACGAAAATTGCGAAAAATCCAAAAAGAATGTGATATGTAATTGTGAAAAATAGAAATACGATGATTACAAAGAAAATATGAAAATTCGTAAAAAACACAAAAAATATAAAAATTTACGAAAATTTCAAAAAATACGATTATTCCAAAAAAAAATACAAAAAATTGCAAAAAAATACAGAAAATAGCAAAAAACATGAAAAATACAAAACTTCACGAAAATTACTACAAAAAATACAAAATTTAACGAAAGTTACGAAAATTACAAAAAAATATGATTACAAAAAACTACATACCTAAATCTAAAAAAAATACAAAAAATTGCAAAGAGTATAAAAAATACAAAAATTTACGTAAATTGCAAAAAAAAATACATACGATAATTTTAAAAAATCGCGAAAATACTAAAATTAACGAAAATTGCAAAAAATCAGAAAAATGCGATATTTACAAAAAAATACAAAGATTAAACGGAAAATACAAAAAACCTGAAAAACCCAAAAATTTACGAAAATTGCAAAAAAAATACATACGATGTCGATAATTACGCAATCCGCAAAATGTACCCGGGTATAAATATTCCCCTCAAAATGAACTCGAGTATGGAGTGCATAGAATTGCAAGTATTCAATACCCAAGTACTCAAAGTACCGAGTACATTTATGAATACATTTTGTATACATTGCATACCAATGACATCGTAAAAATTATCACGCAACCTTCTCTTTTGAACAGCCTTGGTCATTGACATGAAAATCTAATGCGATCTTAGGCCGCTGAAGTCTGAAGTAGCTGCGCATTAATCACTGCGCATGGGTTATGACGTCACATTCCCTTTCACACTTCCGTCCCATTTCCCGAAATATACCCTCAAACCGCCGGTATAAATGTTAACATATCCAACATTAAAAAACACAGAGTCTATAAGGGTACCACCCCCTTTGAATTCTGATTTTCTGATTTCAAAATATTCAAACCTCAATTGCTCGGCAACCGTTGAACAAATTGTAATGAAATTTTCAGTATTTGTAGCTTTTATCAACCTCTGAAAGACATGTAATTTACAATATTCTTAGATTTATTGTTTTTGAGAAAATTAATTTTGAAATTTTTGATAAATAAGTCAATTTTTCTGAGCTATCAAATTCAATGACAAAAATGATACTTTCCCCGATAATTTCTTTTATATTATTCATTGTTTGTGGACATTCTGCTCTTTTGTGCCCTGTCTAGTTACACAAATGACACTTGAACAGAAAATTTCCTTCCGCACACCAGAATTTTCCGAGATATATCATATAATATCATTGGCAAAATCCATAGAACCCAAAAATCCCATATTAATCTTACGTTAACTGCTTTTATTGCATAATTTTGCGAAATTAATAGTGAATTAATTAATAAACATAATCAAATTTGAACAATCGTAACTATATTTTTCTTGTTACAGATGTCCCAATTGTAATGCTGTTACTTCACCCCAGATATCTTTTGAGGTCGCGCCGCGCCGGCCTCCAATACACCCTGGATATAAGCAGAAGAAATAATGAACTGTCAGAAAAACGAACGAAATCTCGGGTAAGTAATAATTATTCTTAAGGCAAAAACTATTACATAAAGTTTATGTAATATAGACCCTTATTTGTTTTTGTACTTTAAACGGATACAAAGTTCGTTTTATGCCCGTATTACATCTGTGTATTTATTCATGTCATGTAGTTCAGGGTGCCAACATTATTTTGCTTTTCATAATGTTGTGTTTGAAGTTTTTCGGTTGTTACCCTGAACTACATGAATAAATACACAGATGTAATATGGGCATTAGAATATTTACGTAAAATTTACAAATTTTGAATTTGGATGTTTTATTTTTAGGCAATCGACGGTACTTTTGATACCAAACAAACGTACTGCCGGTCAAAATTACGACGTTTGTCCAATAGGTACCTGGGACGATTTTTGAGAAAACAACCAAGAGAGAAAATAATGGAAACTATGTTCGATGATTTAGAAGGAACTATTGGTAAGGCGAAATTAATTGGAGGTTTTGTTAATATTTATTTTCTATGATATTTTTTTTTTCCAGAAAAAGCTTTGAGGAAAAGTTGGAATTGCATTACTGCCGAAGAGCTGGAATGTTTGCTGTGCAGAAGATCACTTTTCGATCCCGTTACCACACCTTGTGGACACACTTTTTGTCGGTGAGTACTTTGTTTTCAAAATTTGATTTTACAATTTGGCAACTGCGTAAGATTAAATGTCATCGGAAAAAATAAGTCACTTTTCATTCGAAACAGTGTTGCCATTTTAATGCAACAGTTTTCAGGCTGGACTCACAACAATCAGGATTGGTTTAAATGACCAAAATACTGCTGAATTATTTATTTACATTCACATTTATAATAATCTATATGCATTTTTATTGTTATGGAAAAAATGCTTTCTACATTTTATTTTTCTGAACATACACTTGATTATTTCAAGTAGGTACTACTACCGCCATCTTTACATAATAAGAAATTCTTTACCTAATGTAAACTAGATTTATCGACTCATTTTTTCTACCCACTTAACTAAATTTATGTATTTCATTTAATATGGTTCGGAAAAGTATTCAAAATAAAACATAAAAGGCTATAGGTAATTTAAAAAAACAGGGATACGTCATTAGAGTCAGAGCAAAAAAAATAGTCCAATCAAAATCCGCATACTTGCCATATTATTGTTATAGGATGTTTACTCTATCTTTAGAATGACGTCACATTTAGTAAATTTCTACTATTAGTACTTTATAACACATAACACATTTTTAAAGAAGGGGAATTTCAGATGTTGTCAGAATTATTGACACATGACATTCTAGTTAATTATAAGAAAAAAAATAGGCATGTGTCCTTGTTCGATGACGTCATCCTAAATATAACATTAAAAACCTATATTAGGTGATTTCGGGCAAAACTAGGTATGTTAATATATGTCAAAGTAAGCTTCATATCATTTTCTAGCGAAGTAACTTGTGACGTCACTGCTGACCGCAGTAAATTTTGGTAACCGTAAAAGACGTTACTGAAGATTACCGATTACCTATCTTCCCTGGAAAGTTAAACGCCGGTTGGTTTTGCTTCTGGTTATATTTTCTTGTTTGAATTATTTTTCTTACTTTTCGATTTCTGGCATTTGTCTGTCAAATTCTTTACTGATGTCAACATTGAGACGTCATATGTAACTTTTTTATGTCACTTTATTTAACTCTAGTATGTTCTGGTAACATCACCTATTGATATAAGATTGCTGTCGAATAACAAATAACATCTTGTGACATAAAGGGGGTTTTCAAGCGATACCAACCTTGACATTTTTGACAAATAAATAAGGCCTTTAACGTCATTTGGGGCCAATTGGGCACTAGCTGACGTCACACACATCAAGAATAATACATACTACTACTACTACTACAGGATGGCTTATCCTCATAAGGCCTGTGTGTAACAAATCCCCCCCTACCCCCCTATGCCAAACAACCAGTTGTGACGTAATCAGCATGGTGTTTCTCGCCTTGACGTTGGCAGTTTAAACAGCTGACGTCTTAGTTATGACGTCGGCAATGGTTGAAAATCAATATGGCGGCGATTACAAAAAACGAGGCCGATAAGCACTCCTTTAGAGTGTGTATTCCCCTTGACATACATAACCTCATAATGAAATTTTTGTCCCCCTATCAAAAGTGATGTTATGTGATTTTTGACGTTATAGTTAGCGCCTGCGTGTATAAATAGACCTCCAACAAACGTTTTTCCCCCCATTGAAAATCAAAAGTGAGATTGTGTGTGACGTCATGTTGTTGCGCGTAAAATTACCCTTAAACTGTTTGAATAGTAAATTTAAATTAATAAACCACAATAGGCCTAGGTACTGTAAGACACTCTTAAGGAATGCGGCCAGCGCAACAAAGTGCTCGCGGCTACTCAGTGGTGTGGGAGTAGGTTCAATAATAAAAGTTAGCTTAATAGGGCGCCACTGATTTATAAAATACAATCCGCGGACTTAAATCAGAAAGTCCCTGATCTCCAAAATTCCTATAAAAATGTACCTACCCAATGTACCTATCCTTCAAAATAAAACAATTTTACCTTGGTTTGGTTGATGTCAGTAGGGATAAAATAAGAGTCAAATCTAAAAACAATGATTAAAAATCTATTTAATAAAATGGGGGGGTATATGTTCAAAACTGCAAAGGCCAATATAAGGCAATATGTAAAATACCACAATATATATTATTATTAATAGTAAATGTCAGAATAACCAAAATGTAGTCAGGACCAATGTGGCCTTATTCAAGACACTGCAATAAATTTAAGATTTACCAATAGATTAAATGTTTGACTACCTTAGTTAAATGAGAGTAAAAGAGAACCAACAGTCATTAAAGATGTTAATAAGAGTAATTAAAACCTGTGCACGCTTATACCATGGTATACCGGGGCGGGTTTGTACAAAAATGTCACCTTAAATATAGTACATTAAAAATCATTGGTACTGTACACCCTTGTAATGATTAAGGCAGTAAAACAACCTTGGAAATATACCAATTAAGTATCAGAAATACCATCAATAATAATAATAAAATAATTTAAGAAATGTTATAAAATCAATGGGTACATCACCCCTTTTGGTCCTCCCTGCAGTCTAAACACCCATTTCTATAACTGTCTCCTGACAGCCTTACAACCTGCATAACAGACCCATAAGCTTCCATAGACTTCCCTCTTTAAAATGTGATTTTAGGTTTCAATTCAGTGCTGTAGGCACTCTTGACACATCAGACTCGAGACCAGCAAACCGTCAAAGAGAAAACCCAATGGTAAAGATTCTAAAACAATCCTAAAAAAACCCTGAAAGAGTACAAAAGTCTTAGAACTCCTTCATACTTATAAAAAAAAATGAAAAATCCCAACCCTCAAATAGTATATAAATGATTGGAATTAAATAGCAAAATCCCCTGAAACCTGTAGGTTATTTTAACAAAAAACCCCTTAATTAATAGCGCATTAATGCCCCTTAAACGATTAATGAGTCTGCACATGGCCTCGTGGAGGTCAAATTGCTCTTTTTATAGGATCTCAAATATTTACAAAAATACAGATAAGTTAATCTAAATATTGATAACGAAAAGGTAAATTTGAGAATAGTAAAAACGTTTAAAATTACCTGGTTACAAATGGGCTAGTTGAACAAATGTGCTCTAGTGCTTCACACGACAAACCAACAAAATGGCGTAGATTTCGGTTCCAGAAAATTCTGTGTGGTTGGCTTACAAATACGGGTACGACCAAATCCAAAGCTTTCACCCCAAAACCAATTAAGCCAGCAACCACTAAATCCCAGCGTCTTCAAATCCCACAAAAAGGTGGATGTTCCCAAGGAACGTTGCCAAAAGGACCGCTGGTAAAATCTGCCAAGAACTTGTTGTTTGCTCAACGTGCGAATTTAAAAGAGAACGATCCCTTTTCAGCGATTTATTAGGTAGGCTTCAATATGAAAATTTTTCTAGAATTCCAGTTTTTTTTTCCTTTAAGATGTCCTCTGGTGCCAGATTTCCGATCTCGACCAGGAAGACGGAACACCCAGTTTGAATCGGAACACAAACAGCTTGAAACAGAACACTCCGAACCACAATGATGATCCACAAAACTCCAAGTTGTTATCAAATTCTCACCCCTAACACCAATTAACACTAATTAATCACTTATACAAGTTATTAATCAGCATCTACTTAGTCTTCAGTCTAAAAACCATCAAAAAGACCGGTGAATGTTTAGGGATCACAGTTACAGTGACTCTATATTACCCACAGCGTTCAAGTACGCCGGCAACGGTGCTCCCGAAACGAATCAACAAGTGGCATATAACCCCACAATATTCCTGGAGGAAAACAAACTTTTGAAAATGGGAAAAGTAAAGGAAATAAGGGTGGAAAATCGATTTAGAGTGTGCTAAAGTGATTTGTGTTGTTGCAGAAATTTTAATAAAGGAAAATACGAGATCCGTAAGTGTTGACAATTGATATTTATTTGAAAGTAAACAAACCTTTTCACCGACATTTAGGGCCTTTTAGAAAACTTTCGAAAGCTAAATAAAGTGAATTCCTATCCTACCAGTAGGGCTTTATTATCCTGAAACTACCCTGTCCTCTAAATACAAAGAATTCCCTCATTATTACCTTGAAAAATATACCTTTAATCAACACCCAGATATTGTTTTGCATCCAACCAAAAGGCAAAAATCTAGCAAAATTCAATGAGCAACCTATCAATCACTGAAAAATATTAAACCTCAGGTATACAGCTCTATAAATATTCTCACAAATAACTGGATTAATTACTGAATTTATTCGAAATTCTCAATTACATTAAGGCAAAATTTTAACGTAACATTTTCTCCCCTTTCGTCATCAAAAAAAAAAATAAAAAAAAAATAATGGTTCCTTACAACTACTTCTAACCTAACTATACACTTCATAACCTAGTCAGTCTGTGGACAATGAACATCCCACCTATGCATCTGGTGACTCTTTCAGGTCCTTTATATGCCACACACCTTTCGAATTTCCAAACTCATCACGCAACTCATAAGTCCAAGGTGATAAACGCTTGTGAACAATAAAAGGCCCAAGATAATCTGGTGCTAGCTTTCGCGAATAAAATTTACTAGCATCGGACAAAGAATAATTCTTACGATAAACAAGTTGATTGGGTAAGTACTCAACATGACGACAACGAAGATTATAACGATCAACACTCTTTTTCCCAGCAGCTTCCAGACGACGCCTAATATCCTCAAACATCTGATCCATTACAGCCGTACGTTGCTGTACACTAACGTCAGAAGTCTGGTCTAACTGTGGAATATCCTTCTTATAATCATCGCCACGAAGAATCATACGCCGACCAAAATTTACAAAATAGGGGTTAAGTTGGGTGGTATCGTGCGTTGAAGTGCGAATGGCACAACCCACCTTATCCAGATTGACATCCCAATCTCTATGGTTGTCTGAGAGATACATACTCAACATGGTCTTAAGAGTTCTATTAGTCCGTTCAGTAGGATTTGCACGTGGATGATAATTGGCATTATACTTGAGACGGACTTTATAAGTCTCAGCTAATTTCTTGAAATGAGAGCTACGATATTGAGGACCATTATCA